AACCTCTGGATTTTGGGGCACCAAATTTGAACATTTTTTTTTATTATTACTTCCTCGCCATAGATGTAATACATGGACGGTTTAACGTACGGATTAAAACATTAAAAATTGCCCAGTCTTCTTGACCAGTGGCACAATGGGAAGAGGTGCTATCTCAGGGTTGGAATCCCCAGAGCCAAACCTCTCACTGTTTTGCTGCGAACTGGCAGAAGCAGAAATATGACACCAAGGAACATGGCAGAGAAAATGGAACGGTTAATGCACTTTGAACCAAGCTCGACAGCCCCGAGTAAATGCACTTTGACCCTTTCCCGTTTCCTTTGATATTTTACATTTTAAACGTGATTCTGTTGTGTTGCAACTCATACTAGACATCAGGTTCATTGACAGAACGCAGTTTATCCCAATCAAATACTTGTGGCTTGAGTAAAGTATAGATGAGACGTAGGTTTGGAGATAAGTGTACAGTCCAGTGGCTGTCTACCTTGTCCCTTCTCTGAGTCCCTCACTTCGTCCCTTCTGTCTACCTTTTCCTGAGATGGTCAGTTTTATAGATAATCATTTTTGTTTGTTTTGTTACTCTGAAAAAAGTAATTTATCTTCATTCCGTGACTTTCTCTCAGTCTGAGCCTCTGGCTCTGTATTTTGAAGTTGACTGCACTCGCTGATAACCATGGGTTGAAAGTAAATGTTCCGTATCGAGTTGTATCAGGTCCCGCTGTTTTCAATTTAACAAATCTTCTTGCTACAATTATAATTAATGCAATACGTTTTTTTTCTCTTTTAATCAGTCTCCTCGGATGTGATTATATTCATTGCGAAGACCCTGTTAAAAGCATATTACAAAATCCATCGTCAACTTCATGCCACATCAAAAATATAACTCTTCACTGGTACCCAGCTGAAATGCCAATGTATGTAGGTTACTCGTGGTCAAATCGAAGTAACAATCGTCCGCTCCATGTATATCTGGACAAGTTGACCGGAGACGGAAGTGACGTCATCGTCGTTGTTCATCTCTACACGCATTTTCTGACCTTCCATCATAGTTTGTATCGACAAAGAGTACGCCGTCTAAGTCGGAGTTTGGAGGCGGCTCTTGATCGCCTGAAGAAACTGACGGTCGTAGTGAAAGGGCCACATTACTATCGACTGAACCCTTTGTACAGAAACAGTGTGTTCGGCCTCGCTTACCACAACATCCTAAAAGAGGAGCTGAAGCGACTAAGAAAGAAAATTATTTACCTAAATTTCTGGGACATTAATTTGAACTCGAAGAATGTTGCTTTTTTTCCGGAAGACATTATCCTGAGGCGCATGATTAATCAACTCATGTCTTATCTCTGTCGAAATTGAACAGCGAGAAAGAAAGATCTCTAAAAAAATCTGAATCTGTACGGACACACACACACGCACACGCATGCACACATGCAGACTCACACGCATACATATATATGCACGCTCCCCCGCTCACACATACGCACACACATGCAACTCCTGCACAGACATGAACCCCCATACGCACATATACACACATGCACACCCACACATACTCACACACATGCACCCTCATACGTAGATATACACACATGCACTCTCACACATGCTCACATACATGCACTCCCTTACGCACGTATGCATACATGCACTTCCACACATACATACATGCACCCAAATGCACATATGCACACATGCATTCCGCACATGCTAACACACATGCATCAGTTTATATACACATGCACTCCCATACATACTCACACACATGCACCCCATACGCACACCCCAATCGCACATATGCACACATGCACTTCCACACATACACATGCACCACCAGACATACACACACGCACACATACACACACATATACATCCACTACCCTCTTACACACATGTACTCCTTAAGACAATTTACGGGGAATATAAAACCTTAGCATGCAAACATTGTAATAAATGTTCTTTCAGTCAGTTTATATATGATGTACACTTCAGCAAATAAAAAAAATATAATTCTTATGAGAAATTCAAAGCGAAATACGAGATTTAAAATTAAATAAACCAATTAATCACTTATCTCTGTTTAGACATAAATGCATCTGTACACAAGCCCTGTATCTCAGATAACTTTGACTTCTCAAAAGATGAAGGTAATTCTGAATAACATCCTTGCAGAGAAACTATTTAACTAACAGGCAAGAATAGAAAGTATTTTTTTTTTACAGTGGTCTTCACCCTGTGCAAGGCCCGGGGGCCACTCGAGGTAGAGGGTTACAGATTAAGAGGTACAACTTATGCGGATGTGTGCGGAAGATAACGGTTAACCCAAGACTTGAATAGGTTAAAATTGTAATGATCGGGGAAGAAGTCGGTTCCTCAAGACAAGCACTTTGTGGGAAGAAGCTGCTCGGGTGGAACTTAAATTTCGCCAGGCGAATATGAAGGAGATGGTGGTGGTGGGGGGGCTCGCTACACTGGGCGTGGCAGGGTTAGGGTTAGGGTCAGGAAGGTTAGGTCTGATGGAACTAAGGTGTGTAGTTCATTTGAATATTCTCCATGGAAATAGCGATAGAGTAGTGAAATGCTTTCGACGTCTCGTCTAATGATTAATATTTTGATGGTTATTTGCTTCATTGCAAGGAAAATGAAAAACAGGAAGAAGTGAATTTAGGCGTTGTATGTAAATTTAGAAGATGGATAACCAAATAATTAGATAGAAAAAGTAAACGGATGATGGCGTTGAGGATGATGGTGATGTATTGGTATTAACTCGCCTCTCCAAATCTTGTATTGTGTATATATATATATATATATATATATATATATATATATATATATATATATATATATATATGTACATGTATATGTATTGGGGAAAAATATTGCTTAGATGGAAATTAGTTGAAGGCCCAGTACGAAATCCTTCTGTTTGCAAAGAGAAGGTTTCAAAGATAAAATAAAAATGTCGTCCAACATTTTTAAGTAGTAATTCGAGTAGGACTTGCTAAGAATAGTAAATGCGTCCACACTGAAATGAGTGGCACAGCGTCATTGCTATTTATTAAGTGTTCTGCAATGAAAAGACCTGTATGTATTGATCAGAATATCTGAAGAAGTTTAGTTAAGATTGCGGATCTTTGTTGGGACATGTTGCTTTATTCTGACATCCAGCCTTTGAGTCGTTTCTCCTATGTTGTGTGAGCCACAACTACATTCAAAGGAATAAAATAAAGAACTATTATATATATATATATATATATATATATATATATATATATATATATATATATATTTATTATATATTATTTTATTATATATTATATATGTTTATGTTATATATGATACAAATATTATATATAATATATATATATATATATATATATTATATAATATATATAATATATATTATATATTTATATATTATTTTATATTTATTTATATATTACTATATATCATATATTATTTTTTATATTATATTATATATTATATTTATTATATGTATTATATATATATATATAATATATATATATATATATATATATATATGTAAAATTTATATATAAAATATTTTTAGATATATTATAATATTATTTATTGGTATTAACTCGCCTCTGTATTGTATTGTGCGAACCAAACGAGGGTAAACTATCCCTTGACCTTTTGGCACACAACACCCATCACGTAGCATCTCTGTCCCTATGCCTATGAGGAGGTTCTACCGAGAAGAAAAGGAGCCCCTTTTGTGGGTATTGGGATAAGATCTAGTGCCAGGTAAAATGACAATTCGAATAGATATTGAGATAGTCGCTGATTGACTTGCCACTCTTGTAGGTAAATCACCTATTGATGACCGACAATCATGTTGTTTAGTTTTATTCTTTTCCTTTATGGCTGCAGTTACGTGAATGAACTAAATTTTGTATTTGTAAAAATTGATACACAGATATTTCTAGCCGCATTGGGCGCCGAGCGTGGAGTTCTGGTTAATTTTGCGGATTACTCCACAAAGAAATGGCAGCTTCCAATCGCTTTCCATTGTCGTTTTGCGTCAGCCAAAGGGAAACGTTGTAAATGACTATACATTAACCCAGTGTTTCTTACCCCCAACACACTTTTTACTTCAGGGTACACTTGTAAAATAACTAAAACTAAAACTCTGGGGACGCACTTTAAATTTTAAGAAGGAAAACTTTGTTTTGGAATTTGAAAATTCGAAATTTTAATTTCGCATCCCCAAAGAGGATTAACGGTACAGTTTTTATTTAAACAAATTTATGAAGAATCTCGGATTTTTTTTTTTTTTTTTTTTTTTAGAGGGCCGATAATGACTGATTTAAATCTTTTCAGAACGGCAAAAGGATTATCCACTCCTTAGAGATTAAAATAATTAGCATCGAGTTTAAAATATCGAATGACAAAGACTTAACTTAGACATGGAAGCCATGTGCTTGGTATCTGTAACTTTTTTTTAAAAATAAAGATTTTTTAAATATAAAAATAGTTCATAAATTGCTCTTCTGTTGACTGGCTACTTTTCGGGGTGCATTAGTGCGTCCAGGTGAACCGGTTGAGAAACACTGCATTGACCTGTAAATATCCATTGTACCATTTCTGTTAAAGTGGACATTAATAGGTGGAAACCCATAATTAATAACATATTTTTACTATCTATCTATCTATCTATCTATCTGTCTATCTATCTATCTATCTATTGTTCTCTCTCTCACACAGACATTGCCTGTTCATATCTAAGTATCTAACTTTTCCTATCTATCTATCTATCTATCTATCTATCTATCTATCTATCTATCTATCTATCTATCTATCTATCTATCACACGCACACCGTCTATTCCTATCTAAGTATATAACTTCCTTTCTCTCTTTCTCTATCTATCTATCTATCTATCTATCTATCTATCTATCTATCTAACACACACAATCTATTCCTATATAAGTATCTTTTTGTATCTATCTATATATCTGTCTCAAACACACACACAATCTATGGCTATCTATCTATCTATCTATCTATCTATCTATCTATCTATCTATCTATCTATCTATCTATCTAACACACACAATCTATTCCTATATAAGTATCTCTTTGTATCTATCTATATATCTGTCTCAAACACACACACAATCTATGGCTATCTATCTATCTATCTATCTATCTATCTATCTATCTATCTAACACACACAATCTATTCCTATATAAGTATCTCTTTGTATCTATCTATATATCTGTCTCAAACACACACACAGTCTATGGCTATCTATCTATCTATCTATATCTATCTATCTATCTATCTATCTATCTATCTATCTATCTAGTCTTACAAATTGTGTTTCTATCTAAATCTAGAGAAGTCAAATTGTATCTATCAGAGAATCTATCTATCTATCTATCTATCTATCTATCTATCTATCTATCCCGCCCCACACAGAGTCTATTCTTCTCTAAGTATCTAACTCTTTCTATCTATTTAAGCTGGTTCAACAATTCAGAATTTTAATTCTAGCCTCGATAGTTTGTGCGTCTTATATAGCCAGTGTTTTGAAGTCACTAAAGGCGGTAATGGCGATCATCATTCTTGTGGCGAAGTTAAACCGATACAAAATGCACTGGGATTTGTGTAATAAGTCTTTTAAAATTTATTGATTTTAGTTCCAGTAATAAAATAAAAAAAAAATAAAAAAGTTTGTGACTTGTTTTCTGGGAAAACATTTTCTTTTTATTTATAAAATTTTTTCACTTTTAGAATTTCCTTACAACAAATAATATTGACGTTGGTCTATTTTGAATTCATACCCTTTTTTTTTTTTGGGGGGGGGCATACACCTGTTTATTTTTTTGTTTGTTTGTCACTAGAACTTTTATTTTATTGTTTCTTAGTCTTTTGTTTTTCACTAAATTATATTGTGGATCTACCCCACTTACTTTCCTAAAAAACCGCCGCTAGTAGACACTCCTTCAGTCTATATATAGGCGGAAACATTCTCTGCCATTCTCTTTTGCTTTTTTCACTTAGAGACGGTAAGATGTAGGTCGAAGGAGGAAAACGCTTTCACACTGGGGAACGCACACGCACGTACGCACCTTTCGATTCATTTTCTCTAGAACTTTTCTTCGTTTGTATTCATTATTTTGTAACATGCAATAGTATTCTATTGTCTATGTATACCCTTGTTTTGTTAATACATACTTACCGTTTGTTTATATATATATATATATATATATATATATATATAGTTTTGTCCTTTTCGTTTTATTACCCGACTTACATACCGAGTCCATTTTTTTGTTGGGGCATAATATACCAGGAGACACGTGTTTTCCAACTTAAACACTCGACTAGGTACGCCCGCAACACTATATATATATATATATATATATATATATATATATATATATATATATATATATATAATCTTACCTCCTATGTGAAATGTGTCATTTATTCCCTGAGATATACTGATACTGCCGGAACAAAATTTTCTTACATTTTAATGATTCTATAGAGATGGGAAAATTCTGTATCTTTCATGACAATAACCAAATCCGGACACCAAACTGTTGATAAGATGACCACACTGGAACCATGACCTGGATTTAACATCATACAATTTTATATTTTCTACTCTCGGAAGATGTGTGGCTCGGAAGGAAAATTGAGGAACCGAGTTCGAATTTCAATCGGGTTGGTTACATTCACAATATATACCCTTGGCAAAATTATGACTAAATCTCCTGCCAAAGCTATGGGTTAAATAGCAGGGCTTGTATCTGGAAAAATCAATCTTATTTTCAAAAAATTAATGCAGTATTTACTCGCAAAAAAAGGAATTATTGCTAGAATTCAACATAAGTCAATAAATCAATCCACTGTCAGACCTGTTGCAAAAAGTGAGAGATAAGAAAAGATTTGGTAGAAATAAACAGACCGTCGGAATGTGGATATTCTTTTTTAAAATAATACAGAAATACCACCGATTTTCTGGTAATCGATGATCCGGTACCTCTTTTAATCCGGAAAACATTACGAACAAACATTAAAGACTCATCGGCAGGTGGCGTTGCATTTAATGATAGCCTAATATGAGATTTTAACAGTCAATGATATTATAGAGATAGTATAAATTAATAAATTGTGGGTCAGAAGTGTATTGTTGAATTATTATTACGTTATTATTACGGAAAAAAGCCTAATTATTGCTGAACCAAGTATGCCGTAAAATCGGTGGTATACATGTACCATGAAAACAATTATGTCAAAATGCTATATTGATCTACTCAGACGTGTGTCACATTTTCGTTGTTATAGGTACGAGCTTTCAGTTATTGCACTTTCCAGCCTTCTTCAGTTGTCTGCAGTATTCGGTAATTTAGGAAATGTCATTTCCCTATTCAAGGAATGTTTTTGTTTTATTTTTTACAGTAAAGTTCACCCTTTACAAGGCCCGGGGGTCACTCGTGGTAGAGAGTTACGACTGGAGGCCATTTGCGTGCATAGGAGTGGAAAATAACGGTTGAACCTAGCTTTGAACAGGTTAAGATTGCAGTGATCGGGTTTTATATAAATTCTTATTTGATTCATCCTTCTGATGACGATTCTGCTTTTTTTTTTCCAATACAATCAGAGTGTATGCTTTTCACTGCCTGAGCCAAGGATTGAACTTACGGTCAGCAGATAGCCAGATGTATCAGGTCATCCCATAAGTTCTGTCCGAATTTTACCTTTTTTTTTTTAAATTGAACGAAATTTAAAGAGTATTTTATAATGCCTAATGGAGCTGAACATTATTTTTATGTTTAAATGCATTTAAACTGATCAAATTTTATTGCAGAGAACAATAAAATTAAATTTTGTTTGATTAAAACCCTACTAACAATGGAATTACCCAAGAATCATTTGAGGCACATAATACTTTATGAGTTCAAGAAAGGAAACTCAGCAGCCAAAGCGGCTAGAAACATTCACTCAGTTTATGGAGAGGAATGTGTGAATGAAAGAACTTGCAGAAGATGGTTTGCAAAATTCAGAGGTGGAGATTTCACCCTTGAAGATGAAGATCGAACCGGACGTCCAGTTGAGTTTGATGAAAAGCTTCTTGAAGCAGCCCTTGAAGAAAATCTTGCTTTATCAGTTGAGGAATTGGCAGTGGTTCTCAGTTCAAACCATACAACTGTTCATCGTCATCTTCAACAACATAAACTTTGAAAATAGGTGCTTCATGAATTGTCTGAAAACAACCTCAAATCCCGAGTTGACATCTGCTCTTCACTCCATTCTCGCCAACTTGTTTCACCTTTTTTGGATAGACTTGTGACTGGCGACGAAAAATGGATCTTTTATCGAAATGTTAAGCTTCGTAGACAGTGGCTTGGTAAAGGGGAAGGATCCCAGCCACAGCCGAGAAGGAAACTTCATGGGCAAAAGGTTCTTCTTTCAATCTGGTAGGATCGCCAAGGAATAATCCACTTTGAATTCTTACCACCTAATGCAACAATTAATGCTCAAATATACTGTCAGCAATTAGAGCGTTTGAACCAAGCCTTGAGGAAAAAAGACCTGTTCTAGTGAATCGAAAAGGGGTGATGTTTCATCAGGACAATGCGCAACCCCACACAGCAAGAATCACGTCACAAAAGATCGAAGAACTTGGTTGGGAGAAAATTCCTCATCCACTTTATTCTCCCGATCTTGCTCCTTCAGACTACCATTTGTTTCGTAACTTACATAATCATTTGGAAGCAACAGCTTTTGTAACACAGGAAGAGGTTAAAACTGACATTTGTGAGTTCTTTGAATCAAAGCCAAAAGAATTTTACAGTAATGGAATTAGTAAGCTTGTTCATAGATGGAAGGAAGTCATAGATAATCAGGGAAAATACATTGTTGATTGAATCTGTAATTAAATGTAACATTTGGTCACTTGTTTTCTTTATTCAAAATTCGGACAGAACTTATGGGATGACCTGATACCGAACCAACAAATTTTATTAACTACAATTTTCTATATGGTCTTTGATTTCGAAAGAATAACGTTCTAATGTCACGGTGGAGTAAGGGATAGCGGTTCGGATTGAGGAATCGGAGATTGGAATTCCAGTCGTATCCATTAACTTACGTGCTAATACCCTTGGGAAAGGTATGAATCCTCTTCTTCTCCCCCAATCTATGGGTAAATAGCAGGACGGACCGGGTTCTATAGCTTTGGTCTACCGCAGAAAGAAATAGCAACCTACTGCCGGAGAAAATCTGCCTCGTCAGTCATGTATCGAACGATACATCATGACCTAAGCGTGTATCACGCATGGCACATTACTGACTGAACGTTCTAAAATTTGACTATTCTATAACAGATTCATGTACTATAATAAGAACATCCAATATGTATTAGTATATAATAATAAGCTGTATAAGGTCTTTCTTTAATACGAAAGTACTTTCGACTGTACATTCAGCCATCATCAGGCATGGAAATTATTTTGTTTTTGGTAAAATTCAGGTAACATCCGAGACAAAAAAATATAATGCGAATCGAAATATGTTTTTTTTTTTTTTGAAATGTGTTATTGTTAACGGATAAAAACTTTTGGAGCGTGCAGTAGTGATGCTAAGGTTGAATTTTTTGAAAATTTAAGAGAGTGCGTTTTTTACTAATATGGCAGTTTGAGAATTTTTTTGTTGTAGGAGTTTATCAGTCAATTTGGTATGAACTAAATTGTTCAATAAATAGAGTAATGTCTCAGTTGTATAATCTAATATAATGTCTCAGTATATACTAATAGTATATAATAATAGTATACTAAATAATATTATATAATAATGGTATATAATATTAGTAATTTCTCATCACTGAAATTTTGTGAATTTTATATTTTGTAGCGAGAAAAAATTCTTTTGCCTCTTTTTCTAAAATTGTCTCAACACGATAAGAAGTTAATTAGTGTTTTATTATTCTTTAATGAATTAAATTATTCTTTACATGTAATTTTAATTGGGGTTTAAGTATGCAAACACTAAAATCAAGTGTAGAAAATTTAGTTCAATTTAATTCAATGGAGTTCAGCTTTCACACATTGAATAACATTTTACAAGCATTAATTTTCAACACATTTTAATTTTACACTATTCGAACTATTGTCCCGTTGTATGCTTCGGCCTTCTTCAGGTGGTCGGAATGTCGAACTGAACCCTTACAGCAGCCGAAACGTTGTGATAAATATGGCAACAAAGTTGAGGACAATAGTCCGAATAATGTAAATAGTGTACATAATACCTCATCCCAGAAATATAGATAGATACTGAAGGGCCGAAACGTTGTAATACATATGGCAACAAAGATGAGGACAATAGTTCGAATAAGGTAAATAGTGTACATAATACCTCATCCTAGAAATATAGACAGATACTTTTAATTTTAACTTTAAATTTCATCGTGATATTCTGGTTTTAAATCTAAATTTCCTCGTGATATTCTGGTTGAAGAGATATTGAATAAAATCATTTAAATAGTCAAGATCTGAATCGATTTTTTGTAGAACGCCTTAGCTATAAAATGTCTAAGAAGGAATCAAAAGTTGCACTTTGTATTTGAAAGATAGACAGTCGTTTAAGATTTAAAAAAAATAATCGCCACTAAAATTTTAACAATTGTAATTGAAAGTTTTGAATCGAACTCAGAAACAAAAATCATTCATTGAATATCAAAACTGGTCAATAAACTTCCTCATTATGAAGAAAACCAATCATATTTGCTCGTCACTAAGTGAGGAAGAAACCTCCTGAAGAAAATTTTTCCGTCTTTATGTTGCACGATGACAGAAAGCAGAAGACGCCATATTTGTTTTTTTTTTTTTTTTTTTTGCCGATTCTAAAGCGCGGTTTTTTGTGCTCGAATATTTAAAAATTGAATGGGAAAAAAAGACAAAACTCCATATTGCAAAATTAAGAGATTGTATTTCTTTTCAAACGGCCGAATATCTTAATGACGAAAAGCAAGCGAAAGTGTAAATTCCCCACCAAAACTCAAGGTCCAACAATTATGCCTATTTCTTTGTTTTCCCCGCCTCTGTCTTGGCAGATTTTTCTTTCGAATCAGGCTTTTCTTTCGAATCAGGCTTTTCTTTCGAATCAGGCTTTTCTTTCGAATCAGGCTTTTCTTTTGAATCAGGCTTTTCCGTAGAATTGGATGTTTCTGTGGATTCTTTTTTCTCTGCCGCTCCAAGTATATCAGAAAGATCTGGTATAACGGGATCTGGTGGTAGTTCCTTGATAAGTAAAAGACCGTTAAGCGTTTTAACATCAAACTTTTGCGGGCAGCTGGTGTCCTTGATAGATTTTTCTGGCATGAGCTTACCGTCTTTGAGAAACACCTTTTTCGTTTTACCCTGGCACCAGAGGATCAACTCATCGAGTTTGGGTGTTGGCACCACCAATATCTCGGCGATTCCTCGGATTACAATCAAAGAATATGACAAGAATTCTAGTAAGGTTTCTTCAAATTCCGGGGTGTATTCTACTTTTGTCTTTCTTTCCTTCTTTTTCATTGGATGTTTCACATCTCCCAGCATGCTGTTCGTTTTTAGCATCGTCAGCAGAGTCGAACTGTCGCTGATAGAGTCTTTGTATTCGGCTAACCAGTCCGTCAAAGACTTGCAGTCACCAAGTTTTGCTTCTGGTTTTTCTTTGTGGATGGCTTCGGTGATTTTCAGACACTCCCCTGCGATGGCCTGCAGTAAATCAGCGGTCTTGTCGTTGACGTCAGCGAAGAGTCCCGGTTCTTCTTCTAAAGGCTTCCCATCCCAATCTTTCCATTTGCCGTGCAGAAGGCCGGGCAACAAATAATTGAAAGGAGACAGCATTACTGAAACGAAACTTGTGGACGAACGAAGTCCTACTTCACCCCCGACTAGCAACTGTAAAGTAGACAACGGTCCGCGTCTTGGCGGCGATGTTCCGAACACGGTAGAAGCCAGAACAGATTTTAGAGTGAACTTGATATCCACTTGGACACCGAACGTTACCACGGTGAATTGCCATGGGAAATATTCCAAATTGACCAACGTGCATTGTTCACCGATTTCTCCGAGGATAGAACGACAGTGGTATTCGAAACCACACGCGCCAGGAAGACCGATAAACACAGTTCCTTTCTTAATTTTGTTTTTGATGGCATTGAGATATTGGCTAAAAAGGGAAGGTGATGTTGACATCACAATCGCATCGCTCTCCGTGATAAAATCGCCGGCTGCGTCTACGATGGACGTTGGTCGTCCTTTCTCGGAGTACATCGATCCGTCACTTCGGGGAAAGTTCGTGATCATAGTTGCGTCCTGAAAGAGAAAAACAAAAAAAAAAACAAACATTTAGCAGATTCAATAAGATAAAATTTTTTTCTTCCTTTCACCCCCCCTTTTCACATCCTCCCTTTTTTCGACTCCCCCTTTCCCTGCTCCCCTTTCTTCGCCTTCATCTCGTCCTCCTCTCCTTTCACCCCCCTTTTCACATACACCTTTTTCGCCTCCCCTTTCCCTCCTCCCCTTTCTTCGCCTTCATCTCTTCCACCTCTTCTTTCACACATACCTTTTTCACATCGTCCCCTTTTTTCGCCTCCCCTTTCCCTCCTCATCTTTCTTCGCCTTCATCTCTTCCTCCTCTCCTTTCACCCCCCTTTTCACATCCTCCCCTTTTTTCGCTTACCCTTTCCTACTCCCCTTTCTTCGCCTTTATCTCTTCCTCCTCTCCTTTCACACCCCCTTTTCACATCCCCATTTTTCGCCTCCCCTTTCCCTCCTCCCCTTTCTTCGCCTTCATCTCTTCCTCCTCTTCTTTCACACATACCTTTTTCACATCTCCCTTTTTCCTTCCTCCCTCCCCCCTTCGCCTTCATCTGTTCCTTCTCTCCTTTCACCCCCTTTCACATCCTCCCCTTTTTCGCCTCACCCTTTCCCTCCGCTCCTTTCTTCGCCTTCATCTCTTCCTCCTCTCCTTTCACATTCCCCTTTTCCTCCTATACTTTATTCGCCTCTAATTCTTTTCCCTCTTACACTCTCTTTGTCTCTTACGTTGCTTCCCCAACTTTACGTTTCTTCCTTTCCCTCCTCTCCTTTCTTCACATTATCTTTTTGTTCTTCCCTTTTCTTCCCCTTAATCTCTTCCTCCTCCCCTTTCAACCCCTGTTTTCCTCCTACCTTTTATTCGCCTGTAATTCTTTCTCTCTCTTACAGTATTTCCGCCTCTTACGTTGCCTCCCCTTTTTCGTCTTCACCTTTTCTTACTGCCCTTTCTCTAGAGATGCAAAAGAGGTCCCGAGTCGTGTGCAGACATGTCTATCGAAGTTAGTGACATTCCTGTTTTTCTATCTGTCTGGACGGATTGATTCCATTTCTAAAAAAAACTTTCGCTCTGAAGAGATGAATATATAAATATATTCATGAAATAAATTACATATATATATATATATATATATATATATATATATATATATATATATATATATATATATATATATATATATGAACTGGACAATTATTTAAAGACATTTTTAATACTGTTTATTATAAACAGAGCATTTACTTAAATACTTGTATCTATAAAAAGAATGTTAAACATAAAAATGTCTTTAAGTAATTGTCGGACTTTGTCCAATTCTTAAAGTATGACGTCATTTGTTTACATGTGATACGCCATGAGCAGATATGAATGTACGTGAGAGATTCATAGAAAATTGAAGTTTATAAGCAGTAAATTCGACCTTGCCAATCGAACGTTCCTTTGTGGCCGAGAGGTAAGGCACGTCAGGCTATATGACGGTTCCGTATAGGATACAGGTTCGAATCCTGTCGAAGGACGAATATTTTCTATGAAAATTTCTCGGACATTCAGGCCGGTAAATGTTATTTAATACTGTTTATTATAAACAGAGCATGAGTGAGTTCAATACCTGGGAAAGACGGTGGAGAACTTGGAGACGGGAATTAACAGGAGATAACTAATAACTGACATCCATTAAACAGTTCGACATTCCAACCACCTGAAGAAGGCCGGAGCGTACAATGGCCGACACGTTGTAATAAATATGGTGACAAAGATGAGGAAAATAATCCGAATGAAGTAAATAGTATAGCTTATTCCTGTTGTAAATGTCGGCTCAGGCATATTTGTGTTTATCTAACACCAACCGAGCCAACCTGTGGTTTATACTACAACTAGGCTGAGCAGACATTTGTTACAGTTTCTGGGAGAGAGTCACTAATCTAGCGTGATCAACAAATTGAATAAAGTCATAAGGTCATAAGGCTCAAATCCTCGGTCGCTTGTGACTTCGTTCTATCACAACCACCGACGACTTCCAAACATTTCTGATTATTCTGTTTTACTTATAAGTCTTGAACCAACCTAGTATCATTTTCAGGCATTTTTCCACTTGACCCCTTCAAGACCAATAACATCAACAAGTCACCCCCCCCCCTGGACCATGGTCAGATTCCAACATTCTATCCATTTGGCCTTGCGGCAATACAATAGAGGTACTTTGTGAATAAAAAATTTAGACGGATTTTTCACGATTATTACAGACGCTTCCCTCTGTGCGGATGAAAAGTGGAGTTGCCCCCAGGCGTGTGGTGACGATATTTTAGGTGGAAAGTAGCTCTATTGCGGCTACCGTACCTGTTCATTTTCACGCGTCTTTCGTTCTTATATCAAACCTTAGGCAAAGGCAATCCATCATTGTCAGGATTCCACACCCACGGAGTTCAAACGACCTACACTCAGTTCAAGGCTGTCAAAATTCAGAACAGTATAGTGCGATCTGGAAATACATTATTCCAAATCTTTTTATTACGTTATTCGAATCTAATAACACTAGAGACATAGACAACTCTTAACTCTTGCCTGTTTATTTCTTAATGACCTCTGCAATATCTTCGAAGGATCTCTGACTTGCCGCGCATGCGCGTTTGTGAGGTTACATGCGTCCTTGTCTTGAGATGAATTTCTCGCGTGCCACACTTCGGGTTTTAGAAACTGGTTTTAGAATACTGGTGATTTTAGAAGTCGTTTGTTTTAATTGCTTTACCTCGTTAAATTTAAAAGTTTTCGTGATACAAATAATCCGTTCGAGTGTGATAAGCAAAGGGGAGAAATCGAGACACTCGCCCCGAAAAAGAAATATCTTTTTCTTAGATGAATGTTTATACGTTGGGGAAGAGTAGAAAGTTATTAAAGGAATTCGGCTGGGTAGATATAAGCTTGACATACTGTTGAATAGAGTTTACATCTGAACTGCGCTGTCAAAAAAATAAATAAATAAATAAATAAATGAAATAAAATAAATCAATAAATAAAATAAAATAAAATAAAAAAAGTAAAATAAAACGAAATTCGACTGCACTTAGGGATGTCAGCTGTTAGTCAAAGTATTGACTTGTGAAAACACGAATTTATCTATAAATTAAGTGTCCCCACCATTCAGTATCTGTCTATATTTCTGAGATGAGGTATTATGTACACTATTTACATTATTCGGACTATTGTCCTCATCCATATTTATTACAACGTTTCGGTCGTTGTACGCTCCGGCCTTCTTTAGTGTGAGTTCAATACCCGGTTAAGTCAGTGGAGAACTTGGAGAGGGGAATTAACAGGAGATAACTGATAACTGACATCCATTAAAGATGACACATGGAACTAGAACAGTCTACCCCAGTGTGCGAAATAAAGGGTTCAGTTCGACATTCTAACCACCTGAAGAAGGCCGGAGCGTACAACGGCCGAAACGTTGTAATAAATATGGCGACAAAGATAAGGACAATAGGCCGAATAATGTAAATAATGTACATAATACCTCTTCTCAGAAATATAGACAGCTATTTTGTTGTTAACTAAATTTTATTGCAAAATTTTTTTTTTTTTTTTGAAAACCGAAACAATTGATTTCAGACATCGTGTATTTCCTTTTTTTCTTCTTCAAATGAATAATGTAAATCGTGTTCTCACCATATATCCAAATTAGTCACATTCAGATTTTCTTAAGGCCGGGGAATTGATATGACCAGACAACAAATTGACGAATGAAACTCCCGCCCGACAAACGGTCGTTTATTTGCCTTACTTCATTTCAAAGAAGAAGAAAAAATTTAAAAGAATTTAGACTGAGTGTTTCTCAGAATCAAAAATGGGTTTTTCGTCTCTTGAGGAATATTTGTTTTAATAACTTAATTGGTCTTTAAGTCATTTAATTATTTTTTTTATCTTGTTTTCAGAAGAACGTATTTTATTTATTGGATTTTCCAGTTTCCACTTAATTTTGGCCGAAACAATTCTTTTATACAATGCAGGTGGCCTACCCTGAAATCTAATCAACCATTCTCTCGGAAAAGATCATTAATATCTTGCAACACTCAATCCTACTTGTGAAGTGATAATTAAGTCTAGGTCCGAATCCCAGCATTAATATAACACATTGTTAGCAATTGAGCGAGCTTGTGCATTGTGTGGCCGTTTCATTCGACTTAACAACGTGCGTTCGCATTCTTCACGTCAAGATTATTGGTATAAACATTGCATTGTCCAGGTCTGCCAAAGACTGATGAGATTTGTTTTAAATCAACTCTGAAGAGGGAATTACAGATAGCAGGATGAGGCAGCTGTTGATGATCCCGAAAAAAGAATTTGCTGACGCCTGGATCAGTGTATGACGTTCCGAATTAGGATATTGTTTTTTCGTTAATATTAAATGGCTGCTAGTTTCTCAGATAGTTCTTCTGTTGTATCCAGCCTGGATCTCTTCTGCTGTTTCCACGTTCTTCCCGTCTTCATTATCTCAGTACTTACAACAGCTATGGAGATCTGCTTAGCGACGCCGATAACGGCATAATTATTTCCGGTGTCGTTTTTTTTTTTTTTTTTTTTAGCTAGAATACAAATCCAGATTCTCTCTACTTAAAAATGGAGCAACACAGTCTTCCTACAAACATTTCGAAGTGGGTTTGTTTTGCGCTAAGCTTTCTAATTATCCATTATTCTAAAGCTTGGCAATCCACGATTTATGGATGAAATCTCCTTGGATACGTTGACGTGGTGTAATGGTTAGCAAGGTCACTATTTGCTCCATACTGTTGACCTTGTGCCACACGCAAGCCACTCTTAGTAAATCACTATGGGTGTAGTCTCCGTCTTTAGTTTGACAATAAAAAACTCAACCTGTTATTTACCTCTCTCCCTCCTCTCTCTCTCTGTCACATGTCATGCTTCTCTCTCTTTCTTCGTTATTTCTCTCTCTACTCTTCCCCCTTTTTCCATTTCCCTCTTCTCTTTTCTCTCTCCCTCTTTATATCTCTAGCTTCCTCTTTCTCTTCCTGTCTACCCATCCCTCTCTATCTGTTATCTCTTTTAAATGGCAACCAGCTTTTAGGAAGTAATTGAAGTCATAACAAAACAGGCGGAAATTGCTCCTGACAGACACACACACACACACACACACACACACACACACACACACAAACACACACACATGTTGCTACTATTAAAAATCCGGAGGGTAGGAAGAATTTTGGATTTGTATCAAACCGAAAGAAGCCACGAATATCTTCTTTTATATGCCGTGTCCCTTCAGGACGTAGGTGATCATGGCTCTCCACCTCTTCCTGTCCCTTTTGCTGTCAATAAGTTTTCCTTTTTTTTAAATTTCTTCCATACCCTGTTTTGCCATCCACTTGCTTAAGCCCGTTAAGTATGTCATGCGTTGTTATCTCTTGTCCCTCTTTCTCTCTATCCGCCCTGTGAGTATCAGATTTTCCAAGCCCTCCTTTCTCATTACGTGTCCCTGAAATTTTAGCTGCCTTGATGTTAAGTATAAGCTTCCTCCTTGTTTGCATCCTCTCCAAAACCTCATTGTTGCTCACATGTTCGGTCCATGGTATCCTTAGCATCCTTCTGTAGAACAATACCTCCGTTGCCTCGAGTCTCTTCTTCATCTTTGAGGAGACCGTTCAAAAGCAACTTACATAGGCAAATACAAATCTTGCCTGCCAAACAAATTTAAAAGTCTGAAAATAACACCCCAAAATATCAATGTGTAAATCAATATTTGAACGTGTGTTCGATTTTTCTTTATATTTCAATGATTATTTGAATCACCATCGGAAACAGTGTTTTTCCTGAACCTGATTACCTTAAAGTGCAGTTGAGTTTGTTGTCTGGTACCGTATTTTGCTGCTTATAAGACCTTATAAAATATCTCCCAAAAAACACTTTG